TATATAACTGTCTGTGTCTCTGCGTGGGGTCGGTGTGGGCCACCTTCATGTCATGCAGCGCTACACCGATCCTAATGCTGACATCCAGACCGCCTACCAAGGGCAGTTCCCTGGCATGCCCTCGTGGAAGGAATCCGGTTAGCAACCTGATTGACTCACGAACAAGAGGCTGATCAACCGGTTGGTTCTATGCGTGGATGCCTGCATAGGCATGGGCAACCTGAAAGCCTTTGAGATCCTCAAGCAGAAGCAGCCTCACCTCAAGTTCATCTACTCCGTCGGCGGCTGGTCCCTCTCCGCCCAGTTCTCCAAGTGCTCGGCCGACAAGGCTCTTCGCGAGAAAATGATCGCCGATCACGTCAAATGGGTGGAAGATCATCCTATCGTTGACGGCAAGTCACTGCCCGTATGCACCTATTGGGGAGACATTCGCAATGTGCGTTGTTTCAATACAGGTCTTGACATCGATTGGGAGTATCCCACCTGCTGTGGTGACTGGATTCTCGGCGACCCCGCGGGTCTGAATGCGTGTGGCGCTGAGGCAGACGACGGATCCAACAGCCGACAGGCCGTCAAGGCCACTGGCGAGCCCACCTGCAGGAAAGATGTAAGGGTGGATGCACTCGACTGGCTGCAGTGATGGATAAGGCCGGTCTTCCTGTGTTCCTGCGTGTCTGCAGGACTGGAAAAACTACGTACTCTACCTCAAAGAGCTCCGCGAGGCACTCGACGTGTCAGCAGAAAGAAGAATAGAGACACGGACACTTGGACAGCTTCCATGTCTCCTTCCTTACACACACACATGCAGGAAGTTCCCAAATGATCACAAAGAGCTGTCGATAGCGGTCGGCATCACGCTGAAGATGCGCACCACAAATCCCGACGACCCGCTGGCCAAGGTCTACACTCAGCTGTGCGATGTGCTCGACTCGCTCAACCTCATGACCTACGACATCCATGGGTCCTGGGAGCGCACCACCAACTTCCAAGCGCCACTTCAGTACGTCTGTCTGTCAGATCAGTCAAGCTGCACAGAGACACATGCCCATCTACTTGTGTGGGTTGGCAATGATTGCAGCTTCGACGACAGGGACCCCTCCTCCGCTGAGTTCCGCCGCCTCACAATCGACGCCATCGTCAAGGAGTTCACGGACACCTACAAATGCCCACCCCACAAGGCACGCACGCACGCAACTATCAAACGTCTGTCTGATTGGCTGCACTGATGTGTCTGTGTCCCCTGTTCGCCTGTTTGGGTCTGCCGGCAGCTGTCCCTGGGACTTCCCCTGTATGGCCGCAGTTGGAACGGCGTGTCCCCAGGGCCCAACAATGACGGCATGTACCAGCCGGCCACAGGAGCGCCCCGCCCGCCCAACAGCGGCCCAAAGCCATGGCCTGCCGGCGGCAAGGTCAGGCATTGTGCGAGAGACGTGTGTGTGCCTGTTTGCATTGTCGCTCGGCCTTGTGCGTTGCTGCCTGCATGTCGCTCGTGTGCAGGGGAGTGAGCAGACGGGAGCGACGATTGAGCTGGGCCACATGTCAGTGTGGGACATCATCGACAACTATGAGGACAAGAACGGCTTCAAAAAGTACTACAACGAAGCCACACAGACTGCATACGTCTACAAGTCAGTGAAAGGGGGAGAAACGGGAAAAGAGACACGCACACCATTGCCCAATGCTCGCGTGTCTGTCTCTCCTCCGCTATCTACTTACAGCCCCAACACGAAGATTTGGGTTGGCTACGATGACAAAAAGGCCATTCTTGCTAAGGTAATCAATCGATCGACGCGTCGGCCATTTCATGCGGAGACAGAGACCAGTGCTGTACGGTCCATGTTGCAGATGCATTTGGCGCACTCTCATTCGCTGGGCGGCGTGTTTGTGTGGCTCATCGACGACGACCGGCACTTTGACGTCTGGAACGAAATGCACAGATTCAGTAAGCCAAGCCAAACGGGATACACATGTCTCAATTGGCTTGGCTGTGAGTGCAGTGGTCTCCGAGAACAAGGAAGGTGCATCTTCCCTGACAGAAGAGGCGTCAGCAGCCCACGAGACGGTTCATGTGCACGCTTCTGGTCTGATCCGCCGGCATGCTTTCGGACAGTAGGACGTACCTATGTGCTTAGGTGCGGTCGGTGAGTGCTCCATCTGTGTGTCTGGTGTCAGTAGGGCCTTTATTGTTTTGTTAGGCACAGGTGTCATGGATTGGAGTCAGGGGAACAATCCCTGAATGCCCCGTGTGTGTCTCGAGCTCATTGGTGGCATTGTGCGGCCTCTCTGACCGAGAGTCTCAGAGAAGCATCCCACGCAAGGCACACGGCAGGCTTAGATGTTCGTTCGTGTCAATTTGTCGCTTCACTCACGTACGTGTCCTCATCCAATAATATCTGTCCGCCATCCATCCATCCATCCATCAACCCGTTTGCGCCGCTGCGATGCGACCGAGCCGAGCCGAGCTAGACAAATGTGCACATGACATGCACACGACACGAACAGCGAGTAGGTGCGAGCACGGAAGACAGACCTGGCTATATACACACATACACACAAACATACTTAGATAGACACATAGATAGATAGGCCTGAATGGCTATGCAGTGAGTGATGAAATCGATGGAATGTGTATAGAGCAATGCACGGCAAGACAAAAACGGTCACGGCGTAATGGATGGATGATGGACACCTATAGCCGATACTCCACAACAGCACCCAACACTTAAAACCGCGCCCCAGACCACCCGCAGCCCACCGTCCATCCACCGGTCAACTCATCCCTCGTCATCCTCGTCGATCGTGTGAATCTGCTCCACCCACTGGCGGAGGTTGGGGAGCGTGTCCGAGTGCACCGCATCGCCATTGCAGTAGGGACATCGGTACTGCGGCAGCGGCAGCGGCTTGTCCTTCTTGCCCCTGGTGCGGTTGCGCTGCTGCACCCGCGCCACCTTCTGGTCGTGACGGGCCTTGTACTGCTGGTGACAATGCGCGCACAAACAGAGATGCCTGCAGGGGACGAAGCCGAAGCTGCCCGGGCCGTGCTCGCCGTAACACGCGCAGCACTGGCCGCTTGGCTGAGACTGAGTGGTGGGTGGGGCAGGGGCAGGGGCAGGGGGTGGAGGAGCCGACGAGCTGCTGGATGGGGGCTGCTGCGACGACTGCTGGCCGCTCATCTGGGCGAGCCTGAAATGGGAAACGAAGGAGAAGGCTGGCATTTGGTTCGTTTGGTGGCTGCCTCTCGGCTGGCTCACTGTTGTCTCATGGCTTGCATTTCGAGCTGCATCTGCAGCATCAAGTGGTACATATCTACCTGGCCCTCGGAAGACCTGCAGACACACAGCACACACACGATTGACTCCCCCCCTGGCACCTCTCTGTGCCGTGTTCACCCACTCACCCATTGGCAGCAGACGGGATGGATGCACTACTCGATGATGTCGCTGCTGCTGCTGGCGCTGCTGGTGCTGGGGGATGGTAGCCGCTGTCCTCATCCTCTTCCCATTCGAATATTGGCGGCGGGGGAGGCACATGCATGTCATCGTCATCACCGCCATCATTGTCGTCGTCGTCATGGAACGGGTCGGCCGACGAAGACGACGGCCCCCCAGCAACGGCAGCAGCAGCGGCAGGGACATCAGGAGAGCCACGCAAGGGCGATAGCAGGGGAAGAGGGGCGGTTGAGCCAGGCGGGGAGAGAGGAGGGGGAGGATCCGGTGGCAGCGGAGGGATGCCATCGAGGTCGCTGCTGAATGGGCCATCTTGGCTCACGGGGGAAGGACGATCCACAGCATGGGAGGAACTGCATAGACACGGAAAGATGAATACCGCACTTCATGCGATGCACCTGTCTACTTTGTCTCACGTACTGGGGATTGGCCGGTGGCTGCGATGACGACGGTGCTGGATCGGCCGACGAATAAGAAGCAGAGAGACTGCAGACAGACAGACAGACAGATCAAAACGGACGGAACGGTGATCACACCGTACATATGAATGCCCGCCACAACCCATCTCACCTCGGCCACTCGTCTTCGAATGCTTTCTGCTGCTGCTGCTGCTGCTGGTCGGCGAGCCCGGCGGTGTTGACTGTCTTCAGCTCTTGGGGTGACGGGAGGGTGGGGCAAGGGGGAGGGGAGAGGGGTCGGGGAGGCGGATGCGACTCGTCACTAAACAGCGACATCAGGCAGCTGCCCGCACCACCACCACCGCTCTCCACGGACACAGGTGGTGGAGAGGGGCGCTTCGGGACGGCAGGTGGTCCGCGAGCCATCAATCCACTCCCACTGCCATGTGGTGGCTTGGGCGTGATCATCCCCTTGGCGAATGGAGCCAGCGCACCTTGCCCGAATCGAGGAGGGGCCGCCATTTGTTTCTTGTTGGTGCTGGTGTTGGTGCGGTGGTTCTGGTGCTCCGTCGCAGGGAGGGACGAAGAGGCCGTGGGTAGGCGAAGATTGCCGCGACGACGCTGCCCCTTCTCAGTGGCCGTGATGGAGGGGCGGGACGGGGGCAGCGGCAGCGGGTGAGGGGTGGGTGCAACCCCTTCCTTAAGAAAGCCCGGTCTGCCGCTCTTGGCCTTGTGGCTGTCGGAGGTCTTCTGTCGTGCATGCTGGCCGAACGCCGACTTGATGAGCATGTCGTCACTGTCGCCGTTGTTGTCGTCGCTCTCCTCATTCGCTGTCGGCTCGATCAATCGCTCTCGCTGCCCCCCATCCGCTGCAGGTGCAACCGACGGAACCGACCTGCGGCAGCGGTCGTGACACATGCCATGAAGGTGTGGCGTACATCGCGTCAAGTGGATTGGTTGATTGCTCACGTGTCGGCAATGGATGAGGAGGCAGTAGGCGGCTCCACGTCCTCCTCCACTACCGCAGACGACGACCTGCGCACAACAGACACACGGATTGAAGAAAGATGTTGCGTGAGGTCTGTGGTGGTGATGCGTGTGGCTCTCCTTCCCACCTGGTCGATGCGGCCGTTGGTGAGGGCCCTGACGGCTCCATTGCCGACTCGGGGGCCTTGCCCTTTTTGGCTTTGTCGTTGTTGTTTTTCTTGGTCTTGGTTGCCTTCTCGCGCCGCTCCTCCTCGATAAGCTCGTCTGCTTTTCGCTGCGCCTCTCTGTCCCTGGACACGAGCTGGGCATCCGACATGGACGGCTGAGTCGCCTTGCTCTTGCTGTCCCTCTTGTCCCTCTTGTCCTGCTGTGCCAGCGAGTCGAAGAAGGCCGCCACCTGCAGACAGTCATGGCAGGCGATATCTATAGCTGGGTGATGGGCATGGTGTGGTGCATGGTACGGTGTGTGCGTCCTCCCTCACCTACCTTTGGCGATATTTTGAGGTTGCTCTTGGGGTCGCGCATCGTCCTGACTGACTCCAGCTGATGGATACAGGCAAGTGGATTGAGCTCAGCTCGTTGATGTGGATGCTCATATTGCAACAGTGCTACCTGCAGTATCTGGCGTGTGAAGGGATTGTGCCCTGTTTTGCCGACCAGCGACCTGCCATAGCCGCAAACAAAAAGCGGGTACACACAAATGCCTCATAGCTCTCGTCTGTCTGTTCATACCTGACGAGGCCCTTGAGTATGTTGATAGCGGACGCGTGATCATCGTCGCGAAAGAAGGCTGCGCTTTTGAGGGGGTAGATGAGCTGTCCACGGGCTTCCTTGGGCAGCACACCACACAGGGCCTTCGCGAGCCCATCCGTCTCTGACACCTATACACACACGCCACAAGGTCGATGTGATGAAGGGCGGATGTGGTAGCTACAGGGCTGGCTGCTGAGCTGAGCTGAGCTGACCTTTCGATCTCTTGCGACCAGGGACTTGAGGCAGATCAGACACAGTGTCACGCTGAGCTTGATGCACTCGCAGATGTCCAAAAGAGCAACCAGCGTCGACGGAAATCCCGACTCTATCAAGCTGGCGGCCTTCCCCACATCTGCACATTCACACATACACACAGCGTGTGGACAGGACGATGTGGTGTGGTGTGGTGTGGTGTGGTGTGGCTGACTGACCTATCATCTGACGGGCCGGGATCAGCAAGGAAATCGCGATCAGCGTTCCGGCCGCCTCATGCGCATTGTCGAGGCTGGCAGCAGCCAGCACCCCCTCCCTGGCCGCTGTATCCAGCACCAGACGACGAAGCGGCTCCATCGGCATTGGGGCGGAAGCAAGCACCTTGTCCACACCCTGGTGCTCAATCTCGAAAATTGTGGCGACTGCCGCATTGTCGTTTCCTGCGGTGCATGCGGCATAAACATTGAGATGGTACAAGAGACCAGGCCAGGCTGTGTGTGGGTTGGTTGCATTCACATACCCTTCCTCTTCTTGGTGCAGAGCAAGAGGGAAGCGTAGATGAAGGTGCCCAGGGTGAGGCTGGCCGCCCAGCGCGTGTACGTCGATGGGTCACACCGCGTGATGAGGTCGACGAGGCCATCAAAGTGCAAGTAGACGTGGGAACCCAGCGCACTCCTCACCACAGACCACTCCTCCTTGCCTGTCCAACGCGCATGGACACATCCACCGGTCCATCAATCGCTGTCTCACGGATAGCCCTACCTGTGCTCCAGAGCTGTGTGGCTTCCAGAAGCACCGTAAACAGGCTAGCTACGCCCTCTGGCTGCTCGGCCTGCCCGTTCCACGGCAGCTGCAGACTCTTGACGAACATGCTGCACAGCTCCACTGCTGTGGCGGCGGGGGCGCTGGGCTTTGTGGCGTACAGCTTCATGAGCAGTGCCGCAGCCTCAGACGCCACTCCTATCTGTTTGCTGTTCCGCGTGATATCGAGCAAGTGGCGAATGGTGGCCTTGTTGTTCATCAGGAAGCCGTTTTGTAGCTCGGTGGCCGCGTCAGGGGCGACCTTGAGTGCCGACTCGAGCCCGCATCGCATCACAAACACTCTAGCATAGGCCACCACGTCCACAGGGGCCAAGGGCTTGTCTGTCGGCAGCGTCTCGATGAGCTGGAAGGCGACAAGGCTCTTGACCTCACCGCGGAACTCGACCAACACCCCCTTGCTCGCCAAGTCCACCCCCACAACCGCCCAGATCGCCTCCACCATATGGATGAGGTCCGACGGGGCCACCAACGACAGCAGGCCCTCGCAGACGAGGCGGTAGAGCATGTCGGCAGTGGCCACCTGACACTCCTTGTTGGTGTCATCCACCAGACGCGCCAGGATGCGACGGAAGGCCTCCCGATCCTTTGCCAAGCGAGAGGCGACACGCTTGACGAACTCAGGGCTCTTGGGGTTGAGTCTCAGGACCGGCAGCTCGCCGACGCTGGCCGTGACGCCTTGTGCCGACGCCATGTACGTCTGCATGTCGTCAGAGAAGAGGCCGTCCTCCAAAGCGTCGATATCGTCGGCAGGCTTGAAGCTGAAAGTGACCTTGTCGGCTCCCGGGGGAGTGGCTGCCGGCTCTTGAGCCATGTCGTCATCAGGGAGGCTCTCCGAATCTACTGCTGACGTCCCTGCAGGCGATGATTCAGCAGCGCTCGGTGTAAATGTCATGGGGAGCTCGCTGAGGGGGATGTAGATGGAATGATCTCCTTCCGCGTTCACCTACAAGGACGTAGCACATGCATGTGGAACGCATGCGCACGAGTTTCTTCCCGGTATTATGTTCTTGTTTGCCCACCTGCTGGCCCGTTCCTGTGTGTTGGCTCTGCCCGTCCACCTCTTGGTCCACCTCCGCGCTGGGCTGCCTCTCCTCCTCGGCAGTACGCGCCGCGCGGCCGCTCGTCAAGCCGCTGCTACATGGATCCATCGCACAAACAGACCTCACAGATCCATCGCACAAACAGACCTCACAGCAGACGGATCTGTCCCTAGAGGCACATGGAAAACTCGCTGCTCTCAGCAACTTCAAGCTCGCAGTGCGATCGCGAAGGCCAGCTAAGCAACGACAGCAGCCACGCCTCCCCGTGATGATCTCCCCTCACTGTGGTCTCCGCTTGCTGACAGCAGTTATCTGGTCTTGCCTCTCCATCTCCGTTGATGCATTCCTTCTCAGTGCTGCAAGAAGATGGGGCGCGTTATCCCATCAGCAGCACCAGAGTGGCCTCTCGAGGAGGCCATCGAGGCTCAGGATGGTTGCCGTTGACAGCGAGTGAGCACAAAAGATAGATCTTGACTCATGGCATCGATGGTGATCTTGTTCTGGTTCGTGTGTTGTGTCAGGTACACGAAGCAGCAGCTGAAGGAGAAGGAGTCTCGATACCACCACGAGCTGCAGCAGCGCCTCAAGGCCGAAACCGACCGGCTGCGGGCCAGCGGTGACGTCTCCATCCCCTCCCTCTCCTCCCTCCCCCTGATGCCCTACCTCACCCCCGACGGCAAGGTCACCTCCGCGGACGTCACGCCCGGCGTCAAGGCCAGCGTCTACGCCATCTATGACGAGGGCAAGACGCTGCAGCATGTGGGAGTGACGCGCAGCATACGGCAGAGCCTGCTGCTCCACCTGGCGCGGATGCCGCAGCTGACGCATTATGTCAAGGTGCACCACATCCTGCGGCCAAATCGGTCGCTGCTGGAGCTGATCAAGCAAAGTAAGGCACACGGACGCACACACACACACACACACACACGCAGAGAGGAGAGAAAAGGACCAAGTGGACGGCTTCCTGTGCTGCTCTCTTCTCAGGTTGGCTTGACGAGTCCGGCAACATCCCCCCCGGCAACCGGCCGCCTGATCAGGAGTTGTGGGAGCATCCTTTGGACATCAAGCCGCTCATGACGGACGAGGACCGGGAACGCTACGCCGAGAAGGAGCAGAAGGGCAAGGGGTTCAACGTGTACCTGGAGGTGGCAAGGCGGTATGAGGCGGAGAAGAAAGAGGTCAGTGGGTGGGTGGGCGGATTCATCCACGGGATGCTGGCAAGATTGAAGGCCTCTGTGTGGTTGCATTCAGGTGCTGGAAGCTCGGCACGTGACAGAAGAGGTCCGGTTCGATCCAAAGCTTAAACGGCAAGGTGAGCGAATGCCACGACACCTGTCACCCGTTGCCTCTCGTCACTCTGTGTGTGTGTCCGTGTGTGTGTCGGTGTTCAGGCTTGTCGGATCTGTTGATCCCGAAGCCCAAGGATGAGGTGCCCACAGGGGCGCCCAGGCAGAACAAGGAAGTCGCTGCGGCGTGATTGGTGGGTTCCCTTCAGTGTCGTGTGTGGATGATGCGATGCGATGCGTGCATGGGTTTTCATTTCCTGCGTCAACAAACGGCCCATTTCTGTGCGTACAAGCATCAGCTGTCGCTGGTGTGTCCGGCTGGGTGTTGTGGTGGTTTGTTGCACCGCACGTCAATATGTTCGCACTGCAGTGTGTGAGTCAGATTGACGTGCGGTGCGGCGGAAATGCAACAACCACACACGCGGTCAGACACTGAGGCAGTGGTGTGCTCGGGTGGTGATGCGAGAGAGATACTTCCATGGCTCATGATGCCGAATGCCTGTGCTTGTGATGGTGAGAGAGGGTGTGCAGATCAGTCGTTGTCTTGTTTGCCGTCTGGCAGCCGCTCAGGAGAGGCTGGCCGATTGACGAAACATCCGTTGTCTCGTCAGTAGTCTGGCAGATCTGGAGTGCCTGCGAGATGCACAAGTCAAGGTGGGGCCGGAGGTCTGCTGAGATTAGCCATTTCGAGAGAGCTCTTTGCTGAGCATTGGGGGGCTGTTGACATTGTCCTACTGGACAGGTAGATGGTTAAGCGCTCCGCACACTCGACCGTTGACGAACCGTTGACCGGCGTCTCTGGCCCCCAGTCTTGCGGGTTTGCATGCATCTCGCTGACACCTGACGGTGCTGAGGTTGGAATTCCTGTCTACTCTTCCAGCTTTCGCTGTCCAATTCCGTCCATCAGCTTCAACTGGTGCACACCGACATGGCGAAGAACCAGCTTCCCTTCGGCGTGCCCAAAACCGGTAAGGTCCGCAAACTGCAACGGGGTGGCTCGGCTCCCTGTGCTCACAGCGACGCTGTTGGTGGCTGTGGTGTGTGCAGTGGTTCTGCTGTCCTTTGCAATGCTCAATCTGTTGACGGGCATCGCCTTCTTCGGCTATTTGCCGCTGGTTGGGATGCTGCTCAAGGAGGGCGCCTTCAAGTGGAAGTGCCCCGCGCCGTCCGGCCCACCTGCCAAGGTGGAGGCAGGGCCCTGCGACGAGCAGACGCTGGTCTTTGGACAAATCTGGGACGTCTCACGTACGCAGTCCAAACAGATCACAGTCCACACACATGATGGGTGTCCGTCTCCCTCTGGCTTGGGTACCTGTAGTGCTGATGTTGCTCTTCTCGGGTCTGGCGTGGGGCATCACGACCGACTGGCTTGGCCCCAAGATTAACGCCGTGGCTGGCCAGGTGCTCTTCCTCATCAGCTTCATCGCACTCGCCTTTGCCGGCGAGTCCTTTGTGCTGGGCTACTGGATCGGCCTGCTGCTCATGGCCTTTGCCGGTGGCAGCACCATCACCACTACCGTACGTGTGTATGGCTGCAAGGGGGCAGAGACACGGGCGCCGGTGCTCCGACTGGTGTCTCTCTGTGTGTGTGTCTCTTTGTCCGTCGGTCAGATGAACGTGGCCCTGCTGTTTCCCACACGTGCGCCCCAGGCCATCTCTCTGATGACGGGCTCGTACGACTTCAGCGCCGGCGTGTTTGCCATCATGGAGATCGTGCACTCGAGCGTGTACCCAAAGATGGGCATCAAGTCGCTCCTCCTGGGCTACAGCATCGTCTGTGTGGCCTGCCTCATCATCGCCCTCGTCTTTGTACCTTTCAAGCAATTCGAACGTCTCACAGACAGACAGACAGACAGACAGACAGACAGAGAGAGAGAGAGAGAGCAGGCAGCGAGGTACCTCGGCACACATGTGGGTGTGTGGCTGGTGTGCGGCAGCTGAGGACATTGAACCGGAGACGCAGCGCCTCGTCACCGATCAGGAAGGTATCTACTCTGTTTGTGCGTGTGCGTGTGCGCTTCGCCATATAATGTGGTGGTGTGGTGGCTGGCATACAGCTGGCGTCAAGCTGGTGGAGAGGCCGGCCCCTCTGGCTGTGGACCACAGCGACATGACACAGCTCCAGAAGTACACCAGCCTCACCTTCATCATGTTCGTCGCGTTTTTCGCAATCGAAATGTTCAGAGTACGTGGGTGCCTGTGGATGGACGTCTCGATACACTTTTCGTCTTTGTCGTCCAGATGTCGTTCTTCATGCCCACGGGCCCTCTCCAGTTTGGCGTCTATGGCGACGAGAAGGCGGCGCAGCTCAGCAAATTCTTCGGCATCATCTTTCCCTTCTGCGGCCTCACAACCTTCCCTAGTACACACACACACACAATAGAATGCATTCCCACTCTCTCTCTCTCTCTCTGTGTGTGTGTGTGTCCGCAGTGGGTTGGCTGGCCACCAGGTACGGCAACATCTTCAGCATCTACCTCGCCAACGCGACGGTGAGTCGCTCTCTCACACGACAAACACCACTCTAGCACAGCACGACTGTGAATAAACCATGCTTGGATGGATGTGTGGTTTCATCGACAGGGTGTGCTTCACTCGTTGCTGTGTCTGCTGATGCCGTGGACCAAGAGCATCTTCTTCGCCTACGCCAACATCATCGTCTTCCCCATGGTCAAGTCGCAGATCTTCTCCACCGGATGGAGCATCGCCGCAGGCACCAAACTAAACACAACACACACACACACGGGGTGGTTTACTGTGTGTTCGCTTTGTTGCACGAGTGCAGGCACGTTCGGCTTTGTTGGCATCGGCACGTTGATGGGAACGGCGGCCCTCGTCGCCGGAGCGGTAAGTCCACACGGGTGTCTCTTGGGTGTCTTCATATATCCAATCCCTTCATCAATGGGGTCAATGAGTGCAGGTGAGTCAGGGGTGCAACCCGCTGGCCGCCTACACCACCAAGAAGCTCAACGGCAACTTCGTTCTCCCAAACGAGGGCATACTCGTAAGTCACCATTCACACACAGACAGACAAGAGACACATACAAAGGGAATGTCTCTGTCCGAGTCTGTCGCATGCCTTGCAGGTTGCGGGCATCATTGCGTTCGCATTCCCCATTTTCATGACCATCCTGGCCCGTTCCCAGGCTCAGGCCAAGGCAGCCGAGGCAGCCGCCGCACCCAAGGTGCGCAAGACCCGACCCAGCCTCTATGGCGGATCCATTGGCATGCACCACATCGAAGCGAAATTCGACGAGTGATGGATGGATGGATGGATGGAAGAAGGGACGAATGTGTGGCTGCTGGTGTTGGTGTTGATCCATGCTGAGAGTGAATGAGTGAGTGAGAGAGGGAGTGAGGGATGGATGCGAGCGGTTTTCGTTCCTTCCTTTGTCTGAAGAATAAATGGATGGATGGATGGATGCCTGAGCGAGCGATGCCAATCGATGCATAAGGAGACATGCAGACAGACAGACAGATGGACGGACGGACGGAAGCACCTCTTCAGCAATTCAACCAACGTCCTTTCGTGTTCAGAGCGCCGCACCCTCTCTCATTAGTCCATTCTCGACGTGTCACTTAATTGTCTTGCACGCGGTCAATGAAATGACACTCACACCGCAGCTGCAGTGGCGACGGGCATCTGCACACGCATAACATGGCACGGTCCGTCATATGGCTGCGCATACATGCTTTCATTGCCGTGCTGGTCTGCTTACCTCCAGAGCTGATGACGCACTGTGTGCCTTCGGGTTGCCGCGGACAGCGGTCTTCTTGTGTCCTTCATCTGGTGTCCTCCCGTAGGCCTCTGATGCGCACTGAGACAGGTGGCTCATGTTCAGGTGGCTCATGTCCTCTTCAGCGCATGTGTTTTTCCGCTGTAGGCAAGTCATGGGCGTCCTGCAGAGACACATGGCAACATTGACAGGTATATGTATGTCTCGCTTGATTGGTTAGCTTGTTCACTTCTGTTGTGTTTTCGGGTCTTTGAGGCAATGGCCGGACAGCATTTCTGTGAGGGATTTGCCGCTTCCAGCGACATCAAGTGGCCCCATGGCGATGAAGTAGTCCTGAAACTCCTTCTTGGTCTTGAGGGTAGGGACATCTTGATGGTGCCTGAAGAGACACATGCCGTATGCACATGCACATGCCATCCCGCCGATGTCTTTGTCTATCCCATCTCCACCGACCCACCCACCTTGTGTTGGCGACACACTGGTCGGGCCCCTCTGTCCGCGAGTAGCCCACCTCCTCCCCACTCACTGTGAAGCTGAAGGGCCCCGTCTCCTTGCCGTACTCCCGGTTGCCCTCGTTGTCGCAGTCGACTCGCAAAATCATGGCGCCTCCCGCATTGAGGATGGCGTGTGCCGCGGCAGTGTCCCATGCCTTCAAAGGTGCGATCCGAGGATAGATCTGCATGCAGGGCCCATGCGATGTCGACTGTTGTAAGTGCGCATGTGTCTTGCCCGTCCGTACCACATCGTAGAGTTTCGGGTTGGCCGACCAGATCATTGTCTCTCCACAGCGAGGTTCCGGCTGACGTGAGACACTGCCTCCGTCGTAGAACCATAGCAACTCAGGGTCTATTACCATCAAAAATTTCTGCAATTGCACACGTCGGTCGGAGGGGGAGACACGCTCGCTTTCTGTGATCGTTGCCAGCGAGACCCGCCTCGCTACGGTACCAGTGATGAGCCAAACTCTTGAACATTCGTTGTCGTCACTTTTGCCCCGGGCTTGGTGATCTCCACCTCCCTGAAATTGAACATCGGGCCGCTGGGATGGCGTGAGAGGAAGTAGTCGTAGGCGTCGTAGGCGTCGTTGTGGTTCTTGTCGCTCCCTATCTTCTGCACCAGACTGCCAGGCCTGATGTGGGGTGCTTCCAGACCCTGAATGCACCCGCCGCCGTATGCCGTCAGCGGTGTATTGGACGCCGCTTTCTCATGCATCCTGCGCGCAGTTCCCTCGCTCCATGGGCCTTCTCCGTACACGAGGCGGCAGGCAAACCTCCCATCAGGACTGTCGATGGCCACATCGCCACCTTTGACCACGCCATAGTAGGCGACTCGTTTCCATGGCACCGTGACTACCCCCGCCACTGCCTTGTTCTTGTGGACGAGGGCCACCATGACCGTCCACTCGGCTGCAAGGACTTTCTTCATCTCCTGGTAGAGCTTGCCTTTGTCAGGGGAAGAAGAGAAAGATCTGACCTGCCCCATCCACTTCTTGGCGTCGCCCGCGAAGTTGCTGGTTCCGTCTAAGGGGTCCACCAGCCAGTATGTCTCAGGAAACCCTTCGCTGCTCTCCTCTTCGCTCAGGGCGTCGATGCCTTTCCATTGGCGGAGAGCCGTCAGGCCTTCTGTCTTCTTGAAGACCATCTCCTTCTCCGGCTTGCCCTTGTCGTTGATGATCGTCTTGCCCGTCTCGGTCCACTTCCCTCCTCGGATGTACTCGTCACTCAACCGATCAGCTGACGTCACCAAATCTGGAATCATGCACCCACAGACAGACAGACAGACAGAGACATTCGAGTGTTTCAAAGACTGTTTGCATGGAATCGCTTACCTTGCGGAGCGTCTTTGCTTTCCACTTGCAGTTCTCCCGAGAAGGGCGCATCCTTCAGGTGATCGACGATTTTGAGCCCAGCCCCAATGGCAAGATTGACAACCGCCGACAGGTGGATGTGGACTGTGCCGGCTCCCTTCACAGGCAGAGAGAATTTGGGGTGTTCGCAGAAAGCATCACGGGATGAGACGGCTGCACCACACAGCGGAGAGCAATGCCATTGGGCGTCTCTTTCGTCTCCTCTCTTGTCCTCACCTGAGAGAAGCGACACTGCAAAACACAGAAATATCAGAGCCCCCATATCTGCAGTGTCGCAGACAGGGACCTAGGATGCTTGGAGTCAAGTGAATGGGTCGCCTCAAATTTGTAAACGCATGCGACATTTGACGATCGCTCTTTTCCAACGAATTTCGCCTTCAGTTGGTCAATGATGGCATGCGACCTGCCTCTGCGCAACAACTGGAGCGTCTTCGGCCAGCTGACGGGTAGCCACAGCTCGTTCATCGATAGCCTCAAGCTGCTGGGGGACTTCTCCACAGAACATCTAAAAGCCACGCACGGGGTGCTACGCGGATCTGGGCAAAGTCAGACGCCATCGGGCCGCTATAGTTGCAGAGGCTGTACCCTCCAACGACCTCCACGACCCCCCCTCGCTACGGGCATCCTCCCAGATCCTGCTACTGAGCCGGCGCCTTGGGATAACACTTGGAGGGGCGATTTGAACCTCGGACGCCTTCACTCAGGTGACGACGCCTTCGCTTCACTCGGGCATGCCCTCGCTTCCGCTCGGGCATGTACGCCATCGCCGCTGGCCTGAGGCATGAGTGCCGAACGACCGCCGTCACCTTCCTGTGAGGATGAGGACACTCGGCAATGTGACGTCTGCTTCGAGGCGCGGCCCCTCCCGGATTTCGTGAATGTGCACAGGGGCGATGCGGCGCCGCCCCCCGGCGGCCGTGTGCCCGGCCAGCGCCGTCGGGACCCACCCATTCACGAGATCTGCCGCTACTGCGTGGTGCAGCTCGGCGGGCGGCGACTGCTGCAACCCTTTCGGCACCGCCATTTGGAAGCGATCCCTGCGCGCCGCGGCTGCGAGCACGCCCGCTGCCCGATGTGCCGCCAGGCGTTCTGCCCCGAGTGCGTTCTCGGCGTGGACTCCCTCGACGAGATCCCCGCCGATCCACTCGCCCCCCCTCCGACGAACCCCGACCACCCCGAGTGCCCCGGGTGCTCCAACGCTTACCCGGCCGACGCCTTCGAGCGGGTCCCCTGTGCGTGCCACTCCTGGATCTGCCGGGAGTGTCTGCGGCAGGCACGCCGCGACCGGTCGGGCGCGCTCGTCTGCCCCTACAGCCACCTGCCGGGTCACCTCCACTGGCACCAGATCCTGATGAACCTCCTGCAGCGGCATCGTGCGGCGCTACAAGCCCATCCCCTTCCGGGCCACCTCGAAGGGCTCCTGCCGCTGCCGGAGTTCTCTCGCCCCATGCAGCGAGTGCATCAAGGCCTGTGGCGCCTCGACGTCGGGCAATGGCAACGGCTGGCGAATCCAGAGGACTTCGACCTGGCGGACCTGCAGCGGCTTGGGAGCCTGGCCGGTGCGTCCTTCCCCTGCATCCTCCCCTCGCTTCGCCAGTTCATCGCCTATGGCGCCGCCCTGGTGATTCGTGGAGCAGCGGTGCGCCCTCTCTTCCGTGTCATCGACGAGAGCGCCTACGGGAACAACTGCCTGCTTCGAGCTATCCTCCGCCAGCTGCAAGCTCATCGTCGTCGCCGCGCAACAGACGGTCTGCCTCCCGCGGACCGCCTCGGCGGAGAGCTGCCGTCCCCGGCCGCACTTCGCCGGCAACTCGTAGGCGACCTTCAGCGGCGCAGCGGGGCGGGGGAATTCGCCGCTCTCCAGCCCCAGGGCATCGGCACGGACGCCTACATCGAGGAGATCCGACGGGGGAGAGGCCTTAGTGAGATGGAGGTGCAGTCTGCAGCCAATGTGGTGGGGGCGAACATCGTGATCTGCCAGCCACACGAGCGTGCGTCTCTGGAGACCGCGGCCCCCATCCCCGTGGCAATCACGCTGCTCGTCCACCCACAGCAACGTGTCGACGGCAGCCCCGTCATCCATGTGCTCTACATGCCCGGCCACTTCGTCTCCATGCTGCCTCCTGACCGACCGCACGACGACTGGGTGGAGGCCGACGATGTCGGCGATCCGGGAGTCGGGGCGGTTGGAAGCCGCGCTGCGCCGATCGTGATACGCGAC